CGCTTGGGCCAAGAGAAAGAACGGACTATGTCCGTGGAGGTGGCTTCATAGACCTCTTCAGTATAATAGGGCATATATTGGGGTTATATAGGGATAATAGGGTATATATTTGGGGGGAAAATGGAAAAAAAACATGAAAACCACTATAGTATATTGGGGTTATATTGGGAAAATGGAAAAATGGAAACTACAGGGATTATAATAGGGCTTATATTAAGAAGCAGAAAGTTCCAGGATTGCTGTGGTATTGCTATGCAGGCCAAGCTTGCGGGGAAGACGAGACGGCTCCGCGCTGCGTGGCGGGCTAAGGTACTCGTCTGGCGTTTGGGGGTTTTGGGGTTTGAGTTGCTGTTAAAGAACTGTGTTTCAACACTGTAGTAAGGAAACCCCAATATTTCCTTGTATACCCAAAATATGGTCACTTCAATTACGCTCCTGAACAGCAGCCCAGTTTAGGGTGAAGCGCCGCTGGTACTGAGGACTCCTCTGGAGATGCCTCCAACGATGCAGTATCGAACTTGGTCTCTGCGCTGCTTAGGAGTTAGGGTTTAGGCTTCAGGGTTTAGGGTTCTGGGTTAGGGTTCTGGGTTAGGGTTTGCATGAGCTTGGTCGTTGCGCTGCGTCGCTGCTATTAAGCCCAGCAGACGTCAACCTCAAATCTCCTAGTTATGACCCTCAAAAATAGTAGTTTCCATTTCATGTCTATTTTCTTTTCCAGGTGATTCTCCATTATTGGGGTGATACCCCTATATATCCCCATAGAACCCTTTTCAAGGGACCTAGGGTTTCCATCACATCTTCCTTTCCATCTGGGTCTCCGCGATCCCTGTGCAAGGTCCGCGCGCTTCGACCAGCTCGGGACAAACTCCAAAGCAATGGGCCTGGCCAGAGCAAAGGCGAAGGGGTTTAAGCTCCAGGCTTTAGGGTTTAGGCTTTAGGGCTTAGGCTGTAGGGTTTAGGCTTTAGGATGGAGGCGTTAGGATTCAGGGTTCTGGGATTAGGATTTGGATCTGTACATATAGGGGTCTTACGATCACCCTAAAACCTCTAAACCCTAAACCCTAGGGTTGGTAACCAGCTACTAGTGCTTAGTATGAATAAGGGATATAATCCATATAGAATGTATTCACATATATATATATATACTGCATAAATACACATAAAGTTTATTCCTTATTCCCCCGTAGCCCTCAGTACTACTACTGGTATTGTTGCTATTGTTAACGGCTAACAATACTGTTATTGCATATACATAGTCACATTCTTTGCTACAGCCATAGTTGCAGTAGTGTAAGAGTTCCTAAAATGTCATTATGACGACTGCTATGTGTTGCTGCTCAACACGCTGAAACTTTGCATATACGGAACTCCTACAATTTCCTAAGGTTTGGGCTACGTGGGGTCGTGAAGGACCTTCGTTCGTATAGTTCATAGTATGATTGTCATGGCAGCTGTTTTAAGTAATGCTATCATTATCATTGTTTGTGCAAGGCTCATTGTTGTTATTATTCTTCTTAATTGTGTTGCTAAGGTTCTTAGTACTCCCTAAGCTCTAAACCTTAAACCCCAAATCCTAAACCCTAAAAACCTTAAACCTTTTCCTGTGACTGCACTCTTTTTTCATGAGTGACAGGTCGGTGGGAGCCTGAGTTGTTGCTTGGGTCTGAGGGGTAATGGTAGCCTTTGTGCTGGAACCTTTACATGAGCTATAGTCTGAACTCCTTAAAGGGGGGTTGTATAGGGGATTATATAGGGGACTACTATGGGGGATAGTAAGGGGGATACTAGGAGTTTAGACTATAGCTCACATGTCCTTCAGACTGCGTAACCTATGCAACGAATGATTGCCGGGGTCTTTTCCTGTGGCAGCGCTCTTGTTTTGGGAGAGGCGTGTCACTTGGAGCCTGGGGTGTTGCTTAGGTGAACCCCCCCACCCAATAATAGTGATTATAGGGGATAATTGGGATTATATTAGGGTCCTCTTACATTCGTATTATATCACTATTACAGGGTGGGGGGTCCTCCTAAGGTGTTGCTTAGGTCCTGGGAGTACAGGGTGAGGGGCTGTGTGAGTCCTGCTGTGGGCTGACTTAGTGAGAAGCTCGGGCTCAGGGGGCCGTGTCATGATAACATCTCCGGGGACTTATGCCGAGGAGAAAGGCTCCGACAAAAAAATCTTAAATACTAAACCCTAGAAATTCTTAAGCCCTAAACCTCAAGCCCTAAACCCTAGTAGCTGAGAGCTGTGCGCAGTCCTGCGGCTGGTATGTGGGCAACGCAGCCGGTTTCGCGCCAGCAGATCTGGCCGCGAGGCCTACATCAAGCCCAGAAGCCATGGAGAGCTCTAGTCTGAACTCCTTAAAAGGGGCGGGTTAGATAGGGTTTAGGGGTTAGGGATTAGGGATTAGGGTTTAGGGATTAGGATTTAGGGATTAGGGTTTAGGGTTTAGGGATTGGGGTTCAGGGTTAGGGTCTAAACTCCTTGAAGGGACGGCTATATGGAGGAGATACTAGGACCTAGGAGTTTAGACCATGGCTCAGATCTGAGTAGAAGAATGAACATGAAGTTGGAAAATACTGTGTTACATGCATTTCATGTGTATACATATATATATGTATGTATGTTTGTGTGTACGAGGCTACTTTCCATTTTAGGGAAAATTGCAATATACATATATATGTATACTAGTTTCCTTCTGTCTTCCCTTAAACCCTAAACCACTTCCGCAGGCCGCCAAGGTCATCGGCAAAGAGGTGCGGCCAGGGAGGTTGCAGATGCAGGAAACACCCTAAAACCCCAAATCCCCAAACCCTCACACCCCAAAACCCTAGACCTTACAACCCTGACGCCCTAGACCCTAACAACCCTAAACCCTAAAACCGTAGATCCTAAAACCCTAAGCCCCAAGGTCTTTTTCAACCTTTCAGGTCAGATGGGGTGCTTGCGTATCCCTACGCCACTGCAAATGCTGGATGGGGACCCTGATGCAAGAGCTATAATCCCCTCCCCCTGATATTACAGCCCTGTGGTACATGCTAATATATTGGGAATATTCAATATTAGAGGGGGTGGGGGCTTTAATATCAGACGGAGGGGATTATTTCGAGTTTCACCTCTTAGCTGGTTGTCCAAAGGTCTGCCAGCATAGCTAGGTAACTAGGTGTCCGTACTGGGCCAAAATTCTTGGCCCTCTGTCAAGTTTGAGTTTACTGTAAACGGCTTTGCTCAAGTTGAATCGCTCCCTGTGCATGTAGATGAGACCCGACGCTGCTGTGGTTGAGTCAAGGTCCTTATACAGAAGCAAGACATTCAATGATTCAGGCATGCCCGCAGCGACCCCACTTTATCGAAGCTAGAAGATTACCCGTACACTTGTTTTCTTTGGATGTCTTGAGCCATGTAATCCATCGCCCATGGGCAGAGGCCGGAGCCCCCAAAAAGTCCCAAAGCCCTGTGCAGTGTGGCAACAAATGTCCCAGGCAGTCCTTGCCATGGTCAGCTTCCCAGTCCTTTGCTTTGCAAGCTTCTTTGTAGTGAGGGAACATAGGGATTATGATTGGGGAGTGCATCCCGTAGGGGCTGCGACTGGGATCTACTTCTTCCTTCCCTACACTTCCATCTGCCTGTTCTCGACTTCGGTAGTTAGCACTAGTAGTGCTCATAGCAATCATAATGTAGTAGCAGTTGTCATATTCATTAAAACCGCTAGAAATAACCGGAAATACTGATCACAAAAATGTTAATAACAGCCATAACAGCAATAGTAAGAATCACAGCAAAAGGAATATTCGTCCTAAATCCTAAACCCCTAAACCCCCAATCAGGCTGCTCCGCTGATGGTCATGGCCGCGCCTCCGGCAGCCCCGTCACTGGCCAAGCCGGATAGCGCGCCACAGGCCTTCTCCTGGGAGGCTCCGAAGCAAAAGGGTTGAGGGTTTAGGGGTATAGGGTTTAGGGTTTAGGGTCGAGGGTTTTGGGGTTTAGCGGTTTAGGGGCTTGGGGTTCAGGGTTTAGGGGTTAGTAAGGAGGTTTATGGTTTAAGGGTTTAAGGTTTAGCAGGGTTCAGGGTTTAGGGGGTTTAGGGGTTTAGGGTTTAAGTTTAAGGTTTGGGGGTTAAGGTTTATTTAGGGGTTTAGGTTTTAGGGTCCCACTCAGCAATAATGACTTTCATGGTGGTCTTGTGGGAAGAAAGGTATAAGGATCTTGATACAAGTACCAATATCCCTTGTGGTCATTACTAGTGGGTGGGGATCTGACCGAAGCTATGTGTCTGAATGTTAGTTACTACTATGACATGATTGCTGTGATTGTCATGATTTGTGAATATTAGTTCCATGGAAAGTGCGTAGTCTGCAACTGCCCAGATTGGATTCGACCGGATAGTGCTGGAGCGATCCGTGGGGCAGGGTGTCCGGGCCTGAGCTACTGTTAGTTTTGACAAACAGATAAAAAATAGAGGTAAACATGTTTTTCAAAAATGCTTAAATAGATTTTTAACTTGACAAGAAGATGAAGATTGCGAATTTCATTTTCAAGCAGTCGTTTTTCATATTCTTAATAGTAGGGAAGCTCAGGTGACAGCGCACGTGTACCAGGACGGGCTTTGGCAGACCCTGAATAAACCCTTAGCCCTTAACTATACACCCTAAGCTTTCAACCCCTAAACCCTAACGCCTAAACCGCGTTCATCTTGAATGACCCTGGCTTCTGGCAGGCCATCTTGGATGGTCGGTATCAGGCCAGCGGCTGCTGTGATGGTGCTAGCAAGGGGAGGCGGTGGTGGTAGTGTTCGTGTTATTGATGGTGGTGGTGGATGCGGTGGATGTAAATGTGGATGCGGATGGAAGTACTGGTGGTAGAAGTAGAAGTCGCAGCAGTGGCAGAAGAAGTAGACGTGGCCGAAGCAGCTGCGCAGACTGCAGGCAGATGATTGAAAGTCAGCGCAGACATTCCTGACAGTTTCATCTCGAGCCTGCCATAGATCAGTCATTGCTGCGGAATGAGCTTTTTCACATGGGGATGCCTGTGGGCTGTACTCCCCGCATGTGCTGCAAATCTCATGATCTGGAACGACGGCTACTGCGACATGGCGGTGCATCACAATGGCACATTGGAAAAGTTGGTGGTCCATGCGCAGACTGCACAGAAGCTCATGGGCTTCAAGGGGCCTGCTGAGCTGCACGTGAGCAAGGTAGGCGTCCAGCAGGCTCCGACTGGAGTGGGGCTGTAGTCACCATTATGTTACGTATTTGTACCATTCCATACAACAATTTCCTGAACGTAGCAGCACTCCAATCAGTAGTGGAGGAACGCTTTGTAGCTGACTTGAGTAATAGATTTTAGGTGGACCCCCCAACCTGTAATAGTGGCTATAAAGGATGATATGGACTATGCTAGGGCCCTCTGGTTTTCCTATTATACCGCTATTTACAGGGTGGGGGAAGTCCTCCTCAGATGAATGGAACGTTTTTCAGGCTCCCTTGCTTCGCCTGGCAGCACCAGTTTCGGGCACACGGCGCTCTTTCGAAGCAACTCGGCTCATCCAAACAAACGCGACTATATAGGGTTTAGGGTTTAGGGTGGGGCTATATACGGGACTATATAGGGGAGTATTGTAGGGGTTATTTGGGAGGGACAGTAGGAGTATAGACTATAGCTCACGTGAGCGCATGAAAGGTATCGCTGGGATGTAAGCAAGGGGAATGCGGAGAAGGACACGTCTTTCCACATAATAATCTTCCAATTTTCCATGGTGCTTTAATTGTCTTTTCCATTTGATTCTCCACTATTGGAGCAAGATCCCTGTAGAATCCCATTCATGTCTTTTCCATTTGATTGTCAATTGCGCCCCTATTCAGCCCAAAAACCCTCAACCGCTCCAGGTCCCCGATTTCTCGGGTCGCTGGGACCTCTTCCACGAGCTCCACCTCCCTGCGAAAGGAGACTTGCCGTGCTTAAGGGGGGGCTGGGGGAGTGAATAGACTCCTATAGGTGCATGATGGGTTTTGGGTTTAGGGTTCTTTAAGGATTATTACAGGGGTTTAGGGTTTCGGGATTTGGTTTCGGGTTTTATAAGTAAATATGGGGTTCTAGCGGGATTCTTATATTATGGGTTTCGCTCCCCCACTGCACCCTAAACCCTTTTGATAAATGGGGATTCTATGTGGATTATTGTATAGGCGTTACTCCCCCACTCCCTTAAGCACCATTAAGGAGATGGTTGGAGCTGCGCGAGCCCAACGGAGTGGCCAAAGGAGGAGGGGCAGGGCTGTTAAGAATTTAAATTACGTTGCCATAATATGGCTATATAGGGTTTAGGATTCAGGGTTCAGGGTTCAGGTTAGCATAATATGGGTATGGAGGGTGTAGGATTTTAGGGTTTAGAGTTCAGGGTTTAGGTTACCATAATCTGAGTATATGGGGTGTAGGATTCGGGCTATATAGGATTTCGGTTGATTACCAGAATATGGGTATGTGGGGTTGAGGGTCCTTTAGGATTCACGGTTATGGCTGAAGTTAAGCATAATACGGGTATATGGGGTTTAAGGCTTAGGTTACCCTGCTAATGGGTATATGGGGTTTAGGGTGCTTGAGGGTCTAAATTTTAAGTTACCATCATTGGGGCACATAGGGTTCAGGGCTTCACTTCACCGAATATGGAGCTATAGTAAATAGCAGGGTTTCCTTCTTCTAGTAGCTTAAGTTATATTCGTTGACAGTAACCCAGAAGGAAGGTGGAGCCTTGACAGTTGTGCTACTGCCAGCGCTGTTTGCGCTGACACTGGCAGCTTCCCTGGCCACGGGTGGGACAACCATCGGACCACTGGAGACTGCCGTCTGGATTGCAACAACTGTGTATTTCTACGTTCAAGGTCTGGTGCATGTCATTCGCCTCAGCAACTCATACCACCGATATTGCATTGAAGTGGGTCTTAACACTTGCGCTGTTCACGGCGATCGCGTCTGGGGACTCTACGATGACGTACCGTGGTTCAGCCATGTCTTCGGCGGGCGTCGCTGGGATCGAAAAGACTTGCAAACCCGTGAGCTGGTGGCCAACTTCCCAAGCATCCTGGCCTTTGTCGTTGGTTACCTCGTGGTGAAGGCTGCCTTGAGGCAGCTGAAGCAACCGAAGCTGGAGAAGTTGGCCACCTTGGCCCTGGGCGCTGGGTATGTGGCCTTCCTGCATGAGTTCAGCATCCTCCAGCCTCTAACTTATGCCTTGCTGAACTACTTCCTCACAAGGTTCTTGGCCTCACGCTGTCGGCCAGCAGTGGTGCCTGCTGCTTGGGTTTTGGGGATCCTGGCTCTGGCGGCGGCCGGGAAGGAGCTTAGCCTCGAGACCCTGCTGTGCTTTGGACTCCGTTCCAAGCGTCTGAGACCCCTGGCGCGCTGGGGGCAGTGGATGGACCGCTTCCGTGGGGAGCTCTCCTGGTTTAGCGTCCTCCGCTTCTGGGTCCTGCGCTGCATCAGCTGGAGCGTGGACTTTGCACGTAGCCTCAAGGCCTCCGAAGCTACTGCTGGGAGCCAAAAGGACATGCCACAAGCACGAGACCACAACCAGCGAGCTGAGCATGCGCGACCCCTGCAAGAATACCACAGCTTATGGCTCTACTGGACATATCTGCTCTATGCGCCCTTATACATGACTGGGCCCATCATCTCCTTCAATGCCTTTGCATCCTATACGGAGCGGCCTCAGCGTGAGATTTGGGGCTGGGCTTTGGTGAGATACTGGCTACGATGGCTGTTCAACACCTTTCTTTTCGTAGGATTTGGCCACTTCCTCTATACCTCTGCCCTGGCCGTAAACGGGCCACTGCCTGGCAGACGAGATAACAAGGCCGTAATCTTCGACAATCTCTTGAACTTTGGCCTGGAGGGTGAGACGATGATCTGGTTCTCTTTCTGGTCTCTCAAGGGCCTCTGGTTTAAGTTTCTAGTGATCTGGCGTTTCGCTCGAGCGTGGTCTTTGACGGATGGTGTGGCTGCCATGGAGAACATGGAAAGGTGCATGTGCAACAACTATTCAGTCAGAGATTTTTGGCGGGGCTGGCACCGCTCCTTCAACCGATGGCTGGTACGCTACGTCTACGTTCCCCTTGGAGGCTCGTAGTCTCATAACCCCAATATTCCCCCAATATTCCTACCCCAATAACCTCAATATTACCCCATTGGGACCTAAATGATCATGGCAGAGCCTAAACCCTTGGAGGCTCCAAGTCTCTCCTTCGACAGCTTGGAAGCACGGTGCTGGTCTTCACCTTTGTAGCAGTCTGGCATGAACCGACCTTGCTACACTTAGCCCAAGAGGAGCAGAGGCTGCTGGTTTGGGGATGGCTACTGGCCCTTTTTGTAGTCCCAGAGATCCTGGCCGAACGCCTCTGCAGCGTTCCTCCCTGCAAGGCGCGAGTGCATGGCAAGGGGGCGTTTTCGTTTTCCTCAGCTCGGTTTAGGCCATGTTGCAGGTAGATCTTTTTGTGCTTAAATAGAATTGTGATGGATTCTTTGGCCGAAGTCATTGGCGATACATAGACCGTATGAAGGGCTAGAGAACAAGCTATTTCTGGAACAGTGGAGGCCTGGCTTCTGGAGCACCCCGTGCTTGCCAGGCACTTGAGAGCTTTTGGAGGTGCCTGTGGCATACAGATGCTGATTGTAGCCAACCTTGTGGGCTACTCCTATGGCCTGAAGGGGATGGGCTACCTCCTCGTGACGCTGCAGAATCCGAGGATGTGGCCCTTCCTCTTCTCCTTCGTAGTATGGCTCTTTGGGAAGACGCAGCTGATGCTTCTGATTCGGCAGCGGGAAGCTCGCGTGAGTTGCTCAGAGCTAAGCTCAAAAGGGAAGGATGAGTAGGCTTTGGCAGATCAAAAGGATGGCAGCTGTTTATGCCTTCCCATCTTCCACACGACATGGTTTGGGAACAGTGAAATTATTTAGGCAAGGATTTCTGACCTTGAGGGGCATCTGGGATGCGGTCTTCCCCAAGATATCCCATCTACCGCCTTGTGTCCGAAGCGTTTCCTTGAAGATGGGCCTCGCAACTTGTGCAGGTCGCCGTGAAGCAGATCGACTGATTCTCAGAGAGACTTTGAATCGTACGCCTTCAGAAGAAGTGGGGACCCTGCGGGGGACCGCCGCATGAGAGCCAGTAGGGGAAGAAACGGGTGATGGAATCTATAGCTGACCACACAAGGTGGTAGAACTGTAAGGTCTCTGTTCAGTAACGGGACGGACAACGAGAAACTACAAGATAGAGACTCCGAATACCAAGTTGAAGAATTGTCTGTGAAGTTCATTGCCTGCTGAGCCGTATTCAGGATTGGGACAAGTCCAGCTCTGGAGAACAGGCGGCGAACGTAGGTTGCTGTAGCATGTTGCGGCTGAAGCAGCAATCCCCTCCAGTGCCTTGATGGAGGAGCAGCGCGCGTTTGAGCGCGAGGTTGCTGTTCTCATGAGGCAAGACCAGTGCTATTGCTATGGCTTCTATGTTTGGTTTCTTTGCCTGCTATACTACTATCGCAATTATCATGGCTACATTGCCATTATTGTTGCCCTATTTGCAGACTGCTGCTGTGGCCACCTGCAAGGACTCGCCATGAAAACCTAGTCCAATTTCTGGGAATCTCGTCGATTGAAAGGCTGGCATGGAGCTGTTGCAAGAATGGGGGAGTTTCTGTGAACATTGAGTTGCTGCGCAGGCCCTTCAGGATCATCACTGAGCAAGCCCCCTTAGCTCCTGAGAGCGGCATTGAATCACAGGGTGACATGGAAGTAGCCCTCAAGGTACTGCGCAGGAGGCTGTGTGTTTTCCTTGCTCCACAACCAGGAGCCAGGGCCTAAGAGCCTCCGGTCTTGTGGTCTTCGCCTCACTGCGGCTAGTAGGGGGCCAGGGGATATATTCTATATTCTATATAGGGGTTCTATGGGGATAATATTTTTTCTTATTCCCTACTACGTCACAGTCCCTGCAGATGATCTGCAACTCACTGGCTACCCAAGGCTTCTCCTTTCCTGGCACGGGGCTGAGCTGAACGTGGGCTGGGCGCTCTCACAACGCACAGCTTTGCCTGACCAGGTCGCAGAAGCTGCGAATCTGCTTGGACGTCGCAAAAGCGATGAAGTATCTACATGAGCTGGAAGCTCAAGAAGGTTTAGGCCATGGGAGAGTTTCTGAAAATCGTCTCCACATTAATGGGCGCCGCCCATAATCCCCGTAGAATCCCCATATATCCCATTTGTCCCTTAGGGCACCCCTCCCGTTTCGAGAAACTCCGATGTTATGTCTTACTGGATTCAGGGCTCTGCGGCCTAAACTGGCAATTCGTGGCCTAAACCAAACCCTAAACCGATAATCCTTAAAATCCCTATAGTTTCCATTTTCTTTTCCATTATCCTTACATTACCCCAATTTAACCCCAACAGAAAAAGTCTACCAGCGAGGTTCAATCCACAGGTCATCCACCGGGCCGCGACCTTGATCGTACGATCTGCCTCGAAAAAGCTTAGGGAGCATTATTTTAAGTTGGCGATCCCATACTGGTTTTGGGGTTTAGGGGTTTAGGGTTTAGGGGTTTAGGGTTTAGGGGTTTAGGGGTTTAGGGTTTAGGGTTCCATCCTTCATTGGGGTATAGTATTCCATCAGAAGAATGTAGTCTTACTTGGTTCAACCTCACCAAGAAGGCATTCCTCAAGTGGCCCAGGACCTGAAGTCTCTGAACTTGCTGTTGACCAGCCCGGTGAAGAGACAGGAGGATGTGCCCTTTACCAAGGACTGGCGTCCTGGAGACTTGCTCCCCGAAATCCCAAAGCCTAAATGAAATATAATGGAGTATATATTGGTGTTTCATGGGGATAATGGAAAAGAAAATGGAAACTACTATGTTGTAATGGGATATATATATATGGAATATGCTTGGGGTAATGGGAAAAATGGAAGCTACCATCTTATAATACCTAAACCTTCAATCCCAAGCATTCCCAGCGGCTGTTATTCTTCGCGCCCCTAGACGCCAAACCCCAAATACTCCTAAACAAATTCAATCCGAAACCCTACATCTATATCCTGCTTTGGGGCTTTTATCATCAGGCGGAGGGAGTGCACCACCTCTGTCGCAGGTTTCCGACTTCGGTCTGGCCCGAATCAAGTGGCAGGCACGATGCTGTTTAAGGTCAAGCGTGTTTAGGGGGTTTGGGGTTTAGGGGTTTGGGGTGTAGGGGTTCAGGGCTTAGGGGTTTAGAGTTTAGGGGTTCAGGGTTCAGGGTAGGGATATCTTTCCATAAGGGAGGGGTGTCTTGGGAGGCTCCAGACAAGGGATTCTAGTAGAGCTATAGTCTACACTCCTAAAGGGGTTATATAGGGGACTACTCTAGGGGACTATTTTGGGGGTTCTTAAGGGGGCTACTGGGGTTTAGACTATAGCTCAGTAGTTTTGGGGTGCGTAAGAAGGAAACTTCCATCTGGAGGCACTCCATGTTGTCTAAACAATCTCCATGTTGCCTAGGATTCATCGCTCTCTTGTAGGGAACCTTCGACGGGAATAGCACAGCAAGAGACAGACCTCCTCCACAATCCCAAAGCCCAAACTATGAAGTCTAAACCCTGAGCCCTACCTCAAAAAGCCCTCACAAAACCACAAAAGAAACCCTAAGCCCCAATCCCATAAGCCCGCAGCCCAAGTCACCCAGTGCTAGAGGCACCAGATTCCAGCTGGGGGAAGATGACTCGTGCGGCAGGTTGCAAACTTGGAAATTGGTAGGCTCAGAGGTAAGTTGACATGGGGTTTCCCAAATTAGCGGTAGCCTTTTGGGGTCCCCATGGAAGGATGATATTTGGGGTCTACATTGGGTTCCCCTTACCACATGAACATTCTTCAACATGTTGAGCCCATTTGGGTCCCGGAAAAGCTTTCTTCGGGGAGGATGCTGTAGGGAAGCCGCTTTGTGCGAAATTCGCAGCTCAACATGCAGTATGCTTGCCTTGCCGAGGAACCTGCCATTGGATGGCTCCTGAAGTCTTTGTGAGCCACACCTACGACGAGAAGGAGCTTGCATGGGACATCTCATCAGCATCCGTCTGCGATCAGCTTCTGCAAGGTGGATCTTTACTCCTTCGCCATGATCCTGTTTGAGCGCGCCTGGCACGAGTCTGGCAGGGGTAGATCTTGCCAACAGAAGCACATGCCTATGAGTGATCCAAGTTACCCAATGGGCTCATTTGGCGGGCATCTGCTGCTCAACTCATAGCAGCTGCTGCACCCTGCGTCATACATGCCGCCAGGGGTAGGAAGGACGCTTTCATCGCATTTGATAAAGAGACATGGCTGATGGCAGGGTCATCTGCCAAGAGATACCCTTCGAGGCCTGTCAAAGAGCACAGAACACTGGAGTATATTGGGGTTATATAGGGATAATGGAAAACAACATGGAAACTACTATAGGGTTTGGGCTTCAGAAGGAGTGGAAAGGAACATGGAAACTACTATAGTACTACTTCAGTACTTCCATCCTCACCCTTCTTTGCTCAAGCATTATGTGCTACTGTACCCCTCTGCAGCTTGAGATGCTGGCAGGATCAAAACCCAACAGAGATAGGCCGACTGGCTGTGAAAGGCTGTCGCCGGGGACCCGAGACTGCCAGTGCACCAAGAGCCGGAAGTGAGGTCTTGCGGATCCCTCAGCATAGTCTTACGCATGGTACAATGATGGTTGGTCAGGATGAGTAAGACAGAGAAGCCAACGCTACTTTCTATCGTGGTCAGTGTGTCAAGGATTCGGATCCATACCGTTGCGTCTTATCCTGTAGACACACCAGCTGCCATTTAAATTTCAATGATTCAATGTTATTTCCATGTGATTGTTTATTCTTTGCTTCTGACCCTAACCCATAAACCCTATATACCATAGCAGTTTCAATTTTCTTTTCCATTATCCTGCAACCCATCTATAGCCCAAAACCCTGATCTTTTTTGAGAAATGTTTGCCGATGGTCCTCTAACTTCCCTAAATCCCAATGGCCCCAACCCCCCTGACCTGAGACCCTAACCCTAAACCCTAAACCCTAAACCATAAAAAAACTAAACCTTCTCGCTTCCCCAGCCGAGGCCCAGACCTGGCTTCGGCACACGCCTTGGATAGAAAGCTGATTGAGACCTGAGCTTTAGGGTTTGGGGTTTAGGGTTTAGGGTTCGGGGGTTAGGGTTTAGGGATTTAGGGTATCACATTCCCTAATATAATGCTACTATTTTGGCGGGCTTTCCCTAAACCCTAATGCCTTTATTATAAGGGGGCTGCTTTCATCCTAATCCCTAAAACCCTAACTGCTTTTCCTGAGGTGCCGGAGGAGTGTCCGGAGATCCTGTGCAAGCTCATGCAGTGCTGTTGGGTGCGGAGCGCGTTGCACCGGGTTGCACTTTAAACCCTCAGGCTGAGGGTGTAGGATTTAGGCTTTAGGATTAGGTTCGAGGTTTAGGATTTAGGATTTAGGGTTTGAGGTTTAGGGTTGTCCCAAACCCTGAACTCCTAGACCCCTGAACGGCCCTAAACACGTGAACCCTAAGCAGTTGAAAGCCCAAATAAGCCCAAGCCTAAGCCCTGCACCCTACATCCCAAATCCTAAATCCTAAGCCCTAGATCCTAAGCCCTTAGCCCTAAACCCTAAACTAACTCCATCCCAAGCCCCCTAGACCTCAAAGGCGCCAAGCCCTGGTTTGAAGGCCGGGACGCCAGCAAAGCGGCCTCCCTTCTCAGAGCCCAAGCCTCAGGTAGCCTTGCCAAAGGCCCCCTTGTTGGGGGGTGCCCCCTATAGGGTATAGGGATTAGGGTTTAGGGATTTCAAGGGTTTAGGGTTTAGTTTAGGGTTTAGGGCGTGTAGAGATTTGAGTATAGGGATTTTAAGCTTTAAGGGTTGCAGGGTTTCGAGAAATCCCGTGCGCCACCCTGCGCCCAGGATCCTTCCCTTGCTGGAGCAGGTGGAGTTGCCAGGAGACAGGGTCAGAGCTTAGCGCCTGCTGAAAAAAGGGGGGCGGTGTTGGCTGTAGCCAAGACCAGAGGGTTGAGGGTTTAGGGGTTTAGGGAAAGGCTTTAGGGGTTTAGGGTTCATGGGTTTCGGGTTTAGGGTCCTTACCAAGGCTCCTGGGATCTGGGTCATGTACGGCGGACCCCTGCTTTTAGAGAGGCTCATGTTGGATAGGTCAGCTTTGTGCAGGTAGGTATCGGATCATTTCGCATGAGGGGAAGCCGCACCATTCTGCTTGCCGCATTGCATCTTCAAGGAAGTATGCATCAGGTCCCAAGATGGCAACCACAGGCTCAAGTCTTATCAAGGTGGCCTGCGCGATGTGTGTTGGTAAGCAAATAAGCATCACGCGTTGTGCCTAGGTAGCATCATCCCTCAACGGCTTTCCTCCAAAGAAACACACCTCCTCTGTGCTTCTTGCTCACTGGACTGCTTGAAGGCCTTTCAACCCTAAACCCCAAAACCATAAACCCTAAACTCTATAAACCCTCAACCCTAAACTCTATAAACCCAAAACCCTAAACTCTGTAAACCCTCAACCCACAAACCCTAAACCCTGTAAACCTTTAACCCTAAACCATGGTCTCACTCCATTAGAGCAGGGTCTTCTCTGTGTGCCCAAAGTGGCAGCAGCTGGACAGCTAGGCGCTATGATGCCAGTTGCCGATGGCATGTCCGACACGACCAGGGCAATCTATCGCAGGCCCGAGCATCAATACGTAATATGTAATCATGGTAGGATTTAAAAATGATAGCAATAAGACTTGCAATAGTAGTAGTAGTACTAGGAATTAGAGTAACTTCTACCCAGTTTGTTCTTGGTGCGACAGCAGCCTGGGTTTTTAACACGTGGCTAGCTACAAGCAAATTGCACAGCACACCAATCTAGTGTCCATTTTCTTTTGCATTATCCCTTTTATGACCCCAATATAGTCCCTATAGAATCCCATTATTCCTATATAACCATATAACCCCAATAGAATCCCATTATAGTAGTAGTTTCCATTTTCTTTTCCATTATCCCTGGAGCACCAACTCTCACCCTACGCCGGTACAGGAGCCCCTTGCACCTGACAAGAGGATCCTGGCTGGATGTTCCGCGTACTGTGGACTCCTCAGAGTCTTTGGGTTTGTAATATTTGGATAACGGAAAGGGAAACGGAAACTACTATACTATATAAGGGTATGATGCTATGATGCTCCACATACTGTGGACTTCTCAGAGTTGTGTTTCTTTTTGGCACGATTGCAGGCGCACATGATAGTGTAGCTGACTACAATCCGAGGTGTCAGCAACGCGGGAGCCTTGGCTGTGGATTGCTCTTCCAGCAGTTGCGCTAGAATCATAATATTCATTATTAACAGCAAAATGTTGGTTCATGGTTATTCATACTAATACTGTTGTTTTTATTAATCGTAGTAGCAGAAATTTGGACATATTTTCTGTATTTTGTAATTCGTAGAAAGAGCGCGTATCTAGCAGCCGCAGGAATGGCAGTACGAATGTTAGGTAGTGAAAGTCATGAAATATATACCCTATCATATCATAGTAGTTTCCATTTTCTTCTCCATTATCCCTATATAACCATATATAACCCGTATATATTCCATGTATAATAATCCGATGCTGGCCCAGGTCGGCTGAACAGCGGGCTGACATCAACCGCGCAGTGGACTTGATCAAGGCAGCTGGATGGGCACAAGGGCTACCGTCAATCTTAGGTGTACCAAGGTACCGTTAAGGGGTGGACATAAGGGCCCCTCTTGTGGTTTAGTACATGCCCTAACAATGGACATGAAGTGTCTGGGTAATATGGATCATCATTACCGTTATTGTTGTTACTCTTGACTGTTAATATTAATCATGCTATTTCTTAGTAGTATTACTATTATCATTACCATTACTAGTACTGTACTCACATGTCCAATAACTGTCTACACACATGGCCCTGTGTCAAGGGCAAAGCAAGCAATGGCTTGAGCAGGAAGCTCAGCAACTCGAGAGGTACCGCCTTCCAAACCTGCCCAAAGGGTATAGCAACAGTAATAGCAATAATAGTAATAGGAATAGGAATAGTAATAAGAATAGTACTAGTAATAGGAATAGTAGGAGTACTAGCAATAGTGATAGTAGAATGGTAATAGTAATAAGATAATAGTAGCAAAAGTAGTAGCTCCTGGAGTGATGAGTTCCAGGCAGAAGTAGCCAGAGCAGATCCTGCAGCGACTTCGCCTTGAGGTGGCAGGACTCTTTGCTTGCGTCGCTCAGCTTGGCGGGTGGGAACACATGAGGGTGTATAATACGGAGTATATTATTTTGTGTCAGGACACCCTTGCTCCATCGAGCGCTGGCCCAAGTTGCGTACACTTTGCTGCCTTGCCATGAGCTTCGGTGGATTTCAAGAAGGAAGCTCTAGACACGTGGACATGGACCTAGCATTCGCGAGCACACGCCCACGGCAAGTCTGCAAATACTGAGGTGATTTGTCAGGCGCAGTTGACTCAGAGCTGTCTTGCCCACGTTAGAATTCTGGTTGCCAAAGCCACGTTTGATGGATGCGTTGCACCCTCATCTCCGCCGCTTTCAGCCTCTTGCCAAGATGGCGTCAAGTAGTGTGAGTGTACCAGTGACTGCTCTGGGCACCCGGCACATGGATGCCAGGAGCCTTAGGCCCTGTTTGGCCCGCTCCTGCGCATACCATGCTCCGTGTGCTCACGCCCAGACAAGGCCAAAGAGCTTTGCTGTGGCCTTGGCCTTTGCCAGTGGATGTGCTGCGTTTCACCAGACCCGTGCTTCATGTTCTACGGCCAGGCGCGTGCAAATGCAAGCTGCCAAGACTGGTATTAGTGGCTCCACTCTTCGGGAATTTCTGGGCCGACTGTTCTTTGCAAGCAGCTTGTTCATGGTCTTCTGGGTCTTCGTCTTTCCGGGGAGTGCCTGGGTGGGATCCTCTGCTGAACATGACGGATGGTTGCAAGATCTTTTTGAAAGGTACTTTTCTGATGTTGCTCCAGCATCACTGGTCTTGAAGTACAATCGCCTTGGCTCTCTGCTCGAGTATTTGCATGCGGTACCTGGGGCGATTTGGTGCCTCTTGGCACCTCTACAACTGACGCCCGAGGGCCGTGCATTGATGGGGGAACGGCACAAAGCCAGCGGGCGCCTGATGCTCACCGCAGCCGCGGTGCTGATGGTGGGTCCCTCGACTTAATCACTGAATCCAGAAGGCTCTTGTTCCATTTCAATTGGCAAGAGGCACTAAAGCTGATTGACAGTCCACAGCCGATTTCGTAGTGAACCGCGTGATTTCAGATGATTTTGTTTGAGGATGTTGGCGGGAATGGCACAGTAGTTTGAGGTTTTGCACATGGATTCACCCGTCCAGTTGGAAATTGGTGTTTGCTCTTATAGCAGGACATAAATTGGAAGGCGAGATTATGCCTTCAAGCGCAGCTGAGCATGCCCGTGATGGATTTCATCTTGAGTTTCTTAATAGACTTAGACTTGGAAGTTTTCCGTTGCCTGCCCTTGCCCAGCATGAATTCTAGCTGCATATGAAGGGAGACATGCAGTCTCAGCGGGCGCTTAAGATTCCACAGATAAGACATCCCCTCCCAGGTTTCCTGCTCATAGATCAGAACCACTTGACGGCTGACCAAGCCGACTTTTCAACGGGCGGAAGCCTGGCGGATGCGGCAGACGCCTTGAACGCGCGAGTCTTCTTCGGCTGGCTGCCCCCTTTCAACCAGGGAGGTATGTAGCTTGCTTGGGGACACTATGGTACCTAATAATATAGGGTTTAGGGCCCTATAATGGAGAATCAAATGGAAAAGAAAATGGAAAATGAAATGGAAACTGGGGTAGGGAAAAGAGCAATGGTGCCTGTAGTATTCCTGATGCCATTCCTGAGACAGGGCTCCGGAATCCTTTCCTTTATTCCCTACTGAACAGCAGTAAGGTACGTCATTGCCGCGTGGTTCGTGTTCACCGGTCTGCAAACCTTCCGCACAGGAGCCGCCCGAGATGCCGCTCACCCACGCTGGGCTGTGAGGCCTGCAGTAAGAGACCCCAAGAATCCCATCTGCTCTTCTACGAACTCTTTGCTTTCTTGAAAAAGATAGCCTAAGTATACAAGTACAACCTACATGGACCCTAAAGTCTGTAAATGCTACCTACATTGGCCGATTTGGATCCCTGAGGATGGGAATACATATTAGTTAAACCCTAGACACTAAGACCCTAAACCCTAGACCCTTAACCCTGAACCCTAGAACCTATACCCCTAAACCCTAATACCCTAAACCCTAAGATCTGAGATAAAACGACACAGGCACGCTGCGGCCGGCCTTTGGGTCGCAGCACAGCGGCCTTTGTTTGCCGCCGTCCGTACAGTGCCTGGGTTGCTGTCAAGGAATCGGGTTTAGGGTTTAGGGTCTAGGGTTCGGGTTACCAAAGTATTAGCTACCGCTCAATATGGTCGGTCCGGAAGAAGGGAAAACGCACATCCCATCTGCGCCCATAAGCCCCGTGCGAACACCCCTTAAAACACCCCTCAAAGCACCCTTGCAAACCCCTTGAAGCACCCCTTAAAACACCCCTTAAAACACCTCCTAAAAACCCCTTAAAGCACCACTTAAAACACCCCTTAAAACACACCCTAAAACACCCCTTAAAACACCCCTTAAAACACCCCTTAAAACACCCCTTAAGACACATTTTAAAACACCACTTAAAGCACCCCTTAACACCCTTAAAACACTTACTCCTTAAAACACGGCTTACCCCTTAAAACATGGCCTGCCCCTTAAAACACCCCTTTAGACGCGACTTGCCCCCTAAAACACCGTAAGACAGTTACCCCTTAAAACACGCCTTAAAACAAGCTACGTGATTACCAGTACCTAGGGG